CTTTTCCTCGGCCAGTTTAATGTCCAGGTTTCGCTTCTTTTCGTCGGCGAACTTAACAAGCTCTTCAATCGAATCCGCGCAGGAACTCGGAACTGTCATACCCTGAATCACTTTAGCCTTGTCCGGATACATTTGGCGAAACTTAGACTGTATAACAAATCTATCAATGCACTTCCGTGCTTCGGGATTCATTTTACCATCGACACTGCTGCATTTATACATGGTTCTTGTTATTTATTCCTTTATTTTTTATGTTTTCTAAATTCAATTTTGTGAGTTGTAACTCGTGATGCTCGTTAGCTCTACATTAGAGCAGCCATCTAACATCTAAAAATTCTCACTAATAAATACAATGTCTAACTTTCTTTGTGAATTTACAGAAAAAACAGTCAAAAAATATATCGGGTCCAACCAATGGCAAGATTGCACTCTTTCAGACAATTATATGTACTTAGAATATCATGATGAGGGTGGTTATGGCACAATACATAAAGTATTGGACAAAGCCACCGGAGAACACTTGATTATGAAGCAGTCCTCCAAAAAGGACTTTGTTCCCGGAAAACTCGCCGATCAAGGTACCCCGACCTTGGAATCGGCTTCTCCCAAAGTCAGCAGAGAGGCAGAGTACTTTGTAGTAGTTCACAACGAACTAAACGGACTACGATTGTATGCGTACTATGATTTAGACGACTCATACATTTTGGTGATGGAAGATGGTGGACGGTCCCTTGAAGACTTGGCTTGCTCACACAAGAAAAAAATTTTAAATCTACTGCGTTACGACGCTTACAAAAACAACTTGTTCTTTAATCGCTACTTAAAACAAATTGCAAACTATATGATCCAAGTCTATCATAAAGTTCGGAAAATTCACAACTTGGGAATCCATCACAACGACCTTAAACCAGAAAATATATTAATACGACCGCTTGAGTCGCGAAACGAGATTGACGTCCTCATTATCGACTTTGGGGTGGCCAAACCCGTAGAACCCACCTACACAAATTTCAAAGGCACATTGGAATATGTACCATACGAATATGTGAAAAGTGGCTCATATAAACCATGGGATCACACAATTTGGTGTTTTGGCGTGATGTTGCATTTTTTGACGTTGATGACATATCCATTCGTAAAAGAGAACGATGTGCTTTGTTACAGTCTCTCCCGCGAAAGGGTCGACAAGCTTCCAAAACCGTTCGCGACCCTCATTTACGACTGCCTCGCGAAAAACCCCTCGAAACGTCCGCACAATCTGCTGGAACGACTAACCGAACTCGCCAACCCCGAAGGGGTTGGGTCGTGAGGTGGGTCGTGAGGTGGGTCGTGAGGTGGNTTTATTGTTAAGTCAGACAACTTTGATATATTTATAAGTGTAGCATATATCGTCAATATACTTGCAAAAATCGCGGTCTGATCCCTCTAAACGCTCGTCATCCAAACAGTAAGACATGCATTTGTTGTAATCTGTCTTTTCTGGTTTATAAGAACATTTACAAACGTTACCCGATTTAATCATCGTTCCGGTCATTTGACATTTGTCTTCGCAATAAGTCAATGTTGGTTGTGGTACTTTGATAGTTGCTTCTTGCCATATCGGCTCGTCGGTTTCTGACAAAGAGAGCCCGACCACAAGTGTCGACTCTCCTTTCCATACTGGATCACCGTTGTCCGAAGAGCAACGAATTATTAAATTTGCCAAGAGTAAACAAATGTACATTTGTTTACTTAAAAATAATTGATTTGTTTTTTTATTTGACAAATAAAAACAAACCATAAATGAACCATAAACCGATTATACAATCTTTTTTGATCAAAACGAATATTAGAATTGATATTGTTAATTTGATTGAGCATATTGAGATCTCAACGCAAAGTGTTCGTTCGGGCTCGATCTTGGCTGTCAAATACAGGGATGTGATTAAGGGGAACGCGAGTCTTTTTAAATCGTCTGTAGGGTTTAAAAATTCGTGTCATTTGCTGATTTGTTATATTGCACAAACGCAACAAAAGAAATTTATACAAGTTAAAATTACGTCGCTTGGCACATTTCAGCTGTCTGGTGTGCCGATGGCTGACGTAGAAAAACTTATTTACAAGTTTTTCTCTACTATCGAAAAACTTAACAAAAAGTTTAACGGCTCCGTCTTTCAAACTACCACACGGCACCGATTTGAAATGGTCTTGGTGCCATTGCTTTACAACTGCGTCATCGAATTGCCGCCGGCAGTCCGAAACAAAGTCAACAGCTACTCAAAACTACAGCTCATCAACAGATTCATCGAGCGCGGGTATATAAGTTTCATCGTACCTTATGATATAGCAGTCACGATAAAACAACCCTGTTTGTATGAATACTTCAAAAAGCACCCAATCAGATACAGTACATGGCACAGGTCCGCGGGCAAGACAATGAGCTTTATAGAATACGAGTCTTATACTACTTTGTTAACCGAAGAACAGAGAAAGGTTGCGATATGCAAAAAATATCTAACTTTTAGGATGTTTTCCACTGGTAAAATTTTAGTGAGTGGATTTAACGAAATTACTGTTAATGAAGGTATTGCAAGATTTTTAAAAATGTGCGAAAATTTTTAGAAATCTTATTTTTAGAAATCTCTCTCAAAAAGCCAGATAATAAATGTTACGCATCGAAAACACAATAAGACAGGATTTTCCGGCTGTGAAGCAGCACCTATTCTCCATGGGCTCTATTGTTGACAACAGCTCCAAAAAAGGTAAGGTTACAGCCTATTTTTTTCCGAGCATGATATTTCCAAACAAGGTGGAGTTTTTGTCCATCTCTCTTCTTTACAAATTCCCTTCTGGAGTCAAAGATGACAAAATTATAATGTTTGCCGTCCAAAAAGACCCCACCGAAGACCCTATCAACCTTGACCCCGAATACCATCTAAAGCACACATTCGACAATCTTTTAACGGAACTAACATTTGCTCCTCCTGTCATAATTAATGCTCGACAACCATTCTTTTTTTATCATGACGGCGAACTTAAAGATTCCTCTGTTACGGTGACTTATCGAAATTTAGATTAAAATATCCATTTAAATTTTTCTTTTATATTATTTTTAATGGTTTTAAAAACTGTTAAAAATAAATAATTGGTTGAATAAAGAAATTATTTACACAAATAAAGACATAATAAAGAAATTATTTACACATAATAAATGGACGAATTACTTTCTGAAAACACAAATGCACAAGAATGGTGCGAAAAAATTATTAAGCTACAAGAACAACAGGTGTACAACTCGCTAACCTCCCCTCGCGATCTCAACCATATAGTTAAAGAGCATGTTCAGATGTGCGTTGACTATATGAAGGCCCAGGGAAAAACTTCGATGAAAGACACGGAACAGCAAGATTCCAAAATCAAAGAGGCTCTTGACGTATTGTTGGTCTACTTGCGAAAACACGAGGTTTGGAAACCTTCTCGTGAGAAACCACTTGAGGGAGCACAATTGGAAGCCGCATTCGATGATTTGTATATTCGTTACCCTTCGGGCAACGAACAGGGTTCTGGTATCGACAAATATATCAAAAGTGACAGACTATACTCGGATCCTCAAGTTCGTGGCCAAAACTATGCCTTATTTTCGTTTAATCCAACCAATGGCGCAAATCCAGACAAAGATGGGTTTTACGGATTCATAAAAGTTCGAGGAGTGTTTAATAGATTGGAAGAAGCCGAAGAAAAATCGAAAGAATTGATCAAGTATTTTTCTGCCAAGCAGATTTTCGTTTGTGAGGTTGGGTCTCCAACCCCTTTGCAGGCCAACGCGAGCAAGGAAAACGTGGTCGAGGTAGAAAACATGGAGCAAGATGAACACTCCAAGTACACAGAGCTAATTAAAGAACAGGGCATAAAAGAAAAACAGCAAATTGATGACATCAAAAAACGCGTTGAAGCGTTGAAAGAGGATGTCAAAAAAGGCCCGAACGAAAAAGACCCGATGCAAATTTATCTCGAACTTAACCAAAAAAGGGCAACACACGCATACTTGTACATGCAACATAAGGAAAAATTGGAGGAAACTAAAAACATTGTTCTAAGAACAAGAACCCAAATAGCCGAGATGGATGAAAAGTATCCGAATCTAAAAGAGGAGTTTATTGATCATTATAAAAAGACGTGCGAAGAATGTGGTATAAATCGAGCAAAAGATGATATGGCAGTTATGATTAAAAAGTATTTTGGTCACGATCCGGAAGAATTGGGTTTTTAATTATCACCAATAATTATACCAATAATTATCACCAATAATTATACCAATAATTATCACCAATAATTATCACCAATAATTATCACCAATAATTATCACACCAATAATTATCACCAATAATTATCACCAATAATTATCACCAATAATTATCACCAATAATTATCACCAATAATTATCACCAATAATTATCACCAATAATTATCACCAATAATTATCACACCAATATTTTTAATGACACAATGTCATTAAAAATCCTGGTTTTTAGAATATTTATATTTAATCTAGTAAACGATCTTGCACCTAAAACTACCCTCGTCAATCTCTGTCTTACCGGTGTTTTGCGCAAAATGATTTTGGAACCTATTTTAAACAACCCAATAAAAGTTTAAATAAAGATGGAGCATTATAACGGTAATAAGGTTAAAGCGAATCCGGAAGAGTCTACGGCGAGTATCCCCGAAGGACAACGGGTAATCGAATGTTTTGACCGCAAGCTCGAGGAATTGGCGGGTAAATTCTACTACGGAGTCCGAGATCAGTCTTTTAAAGATCTGATTGTGAAAGTTTTAAAGAGCACCACCCTTAAATCCGAGATGATTAACAAATATGTTAATAATGACACGTTACCATATTTTAACCAGGCCTTTACGTCTTCAAGTATAGATGCGGAGCACAATTACGAGAACTTTGAGCAGATGGGCGATGCAACGATTGGCAAGTTTATAGTTTGGTACTTTTACACGGAAAAGTTTTCTCATCTGCGCGGAAAACCACAAGCAGTTGAAATCATTGCTCGTATGAAAATCAATTTAGGATCAAAAGACACTTTGTCGCAAATAGCTGAGAATTTGGGGTTTTGGCCGTTTATATCGGCGTCAGAAGAACTTAGATATCGATCAAAAAAAAATTACTAGAAGACACCTTCGAATCATTCATAGGAGTCACCGAATACCTGTTTTACGATCGTTCGGACCCCAACTACGCACATCCCGGTCTCGCCTATCAGCTGATTTATACACTCCTCTCAAACCTCTTTGAACCCTACATTCTGCCAATCGACTATAATGCACTGGTAGATGCGAAAAACAGATTGAAGGATGTCTTTGATCAGTTTAAAGATAAGATTGGTACAGAGGCGAGATACGAGCCGACTATAGCGACGCAGAACGGGCGAAAGGTGCATACTATAAAGGTTTACGATGCGCGTGGAAAGCTTTTGGGCGAAGGTTCTGCGTTTATCAAAAAGGACGCAGAAAAGGAAGCAGCAGAAAAGGCTATCAAAACATTAGAAGCCGAGGGTTACAAAAAGACTATCCCAGCATTATATACTTCTTACTAAGCGTTTAATGGTTTTGAACCATTAAACCCTGGTTAGTTTATAGTCCCACATGTACGAGTTTGTAGCCAAGTGTAGGCCGGCGATCGACAAGATTTCGGAATCCCGGATCACAATGTTTTTGTCGTTGATCGTTTTGCAGTTCAGCCCAATTAACAAATCGCGTTTAAACGCGTTGAGAGTGCTGTTATCAAATTTATAAACATTTTTAACCTTTATAATATAATTTTTTAATATAAGGTCTTTGATGGCCTTTTTTCTGATTGATGACCATTTTGAGTATAAAGTGTGTTGATCGGCTGTTCTTGTTTCTTTGACCTTGAAGGCTTTTAAGGTGTCCAAGTAAAGTTTGTAGTAGTCGTCGTAGTCATGTATTTTGTTGGGTTTGATGGGACTTTTTATTTTTTCGACCGCCAAGTCTTCGAGCAGGTCGATGATTTTGTGATTGGTTGTGTATTGACAACAAAACAAGTATTCGAGTATCATGTCTTTATTTTTATTTATTTGGCGTGTTCGAAAAATCAATTTCGTTTTGTGATTTAAGGTGCATTTTCGTAAACTCAAACCAAACAAGCTGCAAACCCACACTAAGCTTCTCGATATCATAAAAGGGATCTGTTGGGTCGTCGCTCCCGCTTCTTCGATGGAGCGAGGAATGGCGATCTTGTTTATTGTGCACGACTAACAACGCGTACAGTTTTTCTTTTCCAATTAAATTTATCTTTGTATTAATTGTTTCAGCCAACCATTTTTTTTCATCTAAAGTTAATGGTTGTTTTTTCTCAGTTAATCTTTTTAAAGATTCAAATAGCATGTACACCGACATTTTATTTCCTGCAGCGCGATGCCGATCGTTACGAGCAAAAATATTTTTTGAGTTTGGCCACCTCACAACCCGTTCCGTCGAAGCGACAACGGGCGCCAGATCCCTACCAGATCCCTTCGGGATCTGGTAGGGATCTGGTAGGGCGTAGAGCGACCACCTCACAAGCGCCAGAGTTCGGTTGCTTTGTAGTCAAGTTTGAAACTGACTCGTTTATCTAAGCCTCCATCAAACACCTTAAAGAGGAGGAACCACCCAAACATGAGGATCGGTAATCCAACTCCGTCGTGAATATTGTGTGTACGTTGAAATGGCAGAACAAAGTACTCGGCGAACACGATGAGAATCGCCGCAACGACAATCGAACAAATGTCGCGCGTCCTATACTTTAGCGACACCAAAGCAATCAGGGCAGACAGCAGCACCGAGCAGGAGATCAACGGCAGCTTCGGGTTACTCACGAAGCTGTCTTCTCTGTATTCCAGCACAGCCCAAACAACGCTTATCAATATGGCCGAAAATACAGAGTTCCGTAGAATCTTGTTGCCTTTGTGTTGCCATGACAAACACAGAGCTCCAACTAACCAACCCCCAATATATAAAGCGGGTCCAATATAGCTACATAATTTTAACGTAGATTCTGATGGGAGTTTGTTGTATTTTTTGGTGTACAAGTCTACCAAGATTTTTTCGCCATTAAATCTCATACACAAACCTAATGTAATGAGACATAATGCAAGTGGAGCAAATATTGTGGATTTCATTTATTAGATGACGAATCCGACTCGAAAAGTGAAATTACACATTGTCTGGCAAATCAATGTCACGCTGAAGGGACGGCTTCGGGGGCTGTGAGCGAAAAGTACCAAAAATGTTTTCTCGCCCTCTTCCAGTTTATTGGCCCAGTCTTGCATATTTAGCTCTTTGAACGACCAATGTGCGTGTTCGTGCTTTTCCATGTTGGGTAGTCGAACGGCTTAAAATACGCTCTTTCAGACGCGAGTTTCGGACCATGTTACCTCGCACAGTTGCCCGACATTGTTTGCGAGGTGGTGAAACCACCGAGCGCGACGCAGGGGCGCGAGAGGGGTCGGGTTCGTCGTACAAAAATTGAAATTTTTAAAATGTGTGTGGTACNGGTAGAAAGTCGTTGCCGACCAGAAAGCACAGAATTATAAAATCACACGCGATGCGCGCAAAGTTGTCTGTTTTGTATTTTGGTTTCATTTGTGCAAATGAGATTAGACTTTGTTTAAACTGGTTGATATCAATTGTTAGGTAGGTTTTTCTGGTAACAGTGTCTTCGCGTAAAATGTAAATGGGGCGTTGTAAAAATATAGCCGACACAAGCAAAGCCACCATAATTAAGTCGGCGTCATTTCCGACTATAAACACGGTAAATTTCTGTTCTTCTATCGTTTGATTATGCATCCGCAGATAATCAAACAACTTATGCTCGCCTTCTCCAGGAACTAATGAATCCATAAAATGAATTGTGGTAACGTTTAACCATTCGGTTGCTAATTTTTTTTCAAGGTGTGATTTGAGGTATATTCCGCATTTGTATAAAAAGTCTGTGCCAGGGGAGATGCAATTGGAGTCGAAGCCTCCGTCGGTTTTGGTGGTCAGGAATCTGCGTTGTCGCTGTTGTATTTGTTTTGAGATGGGAGCTACTCCGTCGATACAAATTACAATTTCCTGGGGGTCCACCATTAGTACGAGAGCGCTTATGCTTTCCAAAATTGTCTCGAACACGCGCTGGTCTCGTTCTTCGTTGGATGCAATGTTGGGAGACTTTCTCAGCAGAACCTTTGATTCGAAGGCGCCGTACTGATACACTTTTTGGCAAGCATTATGAATTAAGCTGTTTAAATCTAGCATCAGCGATTTTGGGTTTTTCGTAAACCTTTTCTTATCATATTTGCTTATAGTTTTGGGAAATGATTCTTTGAACCATTTAAAAAAATATTTGACTCCCATTTTTTCGAAAATAGCTTTATTATAACAGTGTTTACATCTAATTCTGAAATCAATTATTTGCACTGGTCAATTCAAAAATAAAAGAATAAAAAATATATTTTCTCTTTCCAAGTAGACTTTACATTCGGCGATTAATAAATGACTACATCAGAAGAAAGTATTCAGACCAAACCACTCGATTTAGACTTAATCAATCCAAACCCGCAAAATTACACAGATCCTTTACAAGGTGGTTCAAAAATATTTATAATTGGAAAACCCGGCAGTGGCAAATCAACTTTAATCAAATCTTTGTTTTACAGCAAGAGCCAGATTATCCCGGTCGGGGTCGCGCTCTCCGGAACAGAGTCCGAGACCGGGTTTTACAAGGAATTTTTGCCAAGCGCGTATGTCTTTGACGATTATGATCAGGACGCACTCTCAAACTACATCATAAGGCAAAAGGGGGCCAGACAACACATGAAAAACCCTTGGAACATACTGATTATTGACGATTGCATGGATGATCCAACAGTGTTTAACAAGCCACCACAGCCCGGTTTGTTTAAAAATGGCCGCCACTGGAAAATGCTATACATTGTATCTCTGCAATATGCACTAGACGTTAAACCCCATATAAGATCAAACATTGATGGGGTTTTTATTTTTAGAGAATCAAATGTGGCCATAAGAAAACGTCTTTATGAAAATTATGCTGGAATAATACCATCGTTTAGTTTATTTGAAAAAATCATGGATACAATAACAGGCGATTATACAGCTTTATATATCCAGAATTCCACCAACACAAATGATTGGAAAGAGTGTGTATTTTACTACAAGGCCCCTGTGATTGACGATTTCAAGTTTGGTTGCGCTGAATACAGAGGATATGCATCAAAAATTTTAATCAAAAAATAACACCAATACGCAAGAGAAAGGCTAGCTCCCCGGAGCGCAGATTCTAATAAACAAAGCTTTAAAATACTCGAATTAAGATTGTTTTTTAAAGGTTTTTTAACTTTTAAAAAACTTGTTCGGAGTTTGGGCGAACTCAAGAGGTAGTGAAACCACCGAACTCGTGAGGTAGTGAAATCACCGAACTCGTGAGGTAGTGAAACCACCGAACTCGTGAGGTAGTGAAACCACCGAACTCGTGAGGTAGTGAAAACTCAAGAGGTGGTCTACGAATCGGCAAAAACAATTGATGCGTCGCACAATGCCGTCAAAACGTCTCCAATGTTGATGTAGCCAACATTGTGAAATAGAAAAAAATTTTCGAGCTCCGATTTCACGACCACTTTACACGGAGTCCTGCACCATTTAGCCTGCAACCCCAAAGAAAAATCACGCCCGACTTTATACATAGACCGAACCTTTTCATGGTTAAGTATTGTTGTATCCAACGGTACGTGTTCAATGTTGTGATACGTTGTGATATATTTGTATGCTTTTTCGACCCCCACCCTGAAAATGTTTTTGTTGTAGTCCGTTCCACACATGATGCAAAAGTCTAAAAACTCGGAAGCGGTGAGACCCAACACCTGCAACATCTTCTTCTTTGAAATTTGGTGAAACGTTTGCGAGCACGTGTCGAAAGAGGTGATAGCCTTCAGATCTTCAGAGCCCTTCAGATCTTCAGAACCCTTCAGATCTTCAGAACCCTTCAGATCTTCAGAGCCCTTCAGAGCCCTCTCGTTGTCGCGGTCGGGAAGATACGCGAGCACGTCGGTGTCCTCGCTGACCACGTAATCGACGGCCCCCACGTAAAACAGCGATGCGCAGTCCGTCTCTGCCTCTCCTACACTCGCGATATATGGCACGCATAGCCGGTTCAACAACTCTTTAAGATCGTCTATGTCTTCTGATGTAATTGAAACTTCGTACTTTCTTCTCTTGGCGATTTCATCTTTGATTTGTTCAGCAAACCCGATCAGGGCGATGGGGGTTTTTACGATCGATTTTGCGACAAGTGGGCGTTTTTTTTTCAATTGGAGAGAGTCCCAAACACCCTGCAGAAACGGTGTGATTGTTCCCGAGCTACAATAGAGGTTTAGGTCGTGTTCAATGAGGTCGGTTTTGTCAACTACCCTCTGTCGTTGCTTTCGTCTTTCTTCTCGTGTCGCAGCTTTTTCGGGGGGGGCGGTTCCTTCAAACACGAAGAGGGGGTGGATGTCCCAGGATCGTAAAAAGACCACCAGATTCAAAAAGCACCCCAGCCAGTCGGGTGTACATGCCTTGAATTTGTAGAAAAACATCGGGGTGTCAATTGCAATCTTTTTGTATTTCAGATGTGAGACGTGCAATTTCTCGCCAATGTTGCGTTCTTTTAAAAATTTACTCAAGTTTTTAATACCCATTTTTTTTATCCTTTTTCATGATCTAAATAATCATTTTTAATGATCAAAGCTCTGCGACGTTGAGTTTATGGTTATTTTAAGTAAAGTTTGATTCTTCAACTAATAAATGAACGAAATTTACATCTCAGATCCTCTGCACCAACATCTAACTAATAAACGGCCTGTCCACATTATAGGTGGTATCCACCACGAGGAACACGAAGCGTATTTGAGTGGAAAACGATCAGATTTTGTTCTTCCTCCGCTGAACACACACATCAATTTTTTAAAATACACGCAAACATATTCTGACCAAGATCATTTAGACCTGCATTTGAAGTACTCGGCAACAGACAATCCCGTTGAAATTCCCGATGTGTACGATTGGAGGTTTGTCTATCCGATTGACGACGAGGAAAGGAAAGGACAGAAAAAACACATCATGCCACCCGACAACCAATATTTGTGCGGCTCTTGTTGGGCCATATCAACATCTAGTGTAATAGGTGATGCGTTTGTAGCGGCTGGTTTGGTAACGTGGCGGCCTGAGATTTCGACCACGTGGGCGTTAACGTGTTATCCGCAGGGTCGCTGTGATGGTGGAAGTCCTGCATTGTTGTTGCAGGACATTGCACGAGGGTCGGGAATTCCGTCGAAGCATTGCTTGGACTACTCGTTTTGCGCATCGAACGACAAATGCAATGGCAAGGCGACTCAACACTTTCAAGCGCAAAACCTATCGTCGCTCGTTCCTCGCGAATGCGGGTGTTATTACGACACCGATCATTACAATTATACGATAAATAAGGATATTAAGACATTGGCGATTAATCAGGGTGCAACAACTGCTGATAATATGCAATCAAGTATAAAAAAGCACATTTTATTGCATGGGCCGGTGTTGACCGGATACTTTGTGATGCGCAACTTTACGTCTGGGTACTTTACCAAAATTAATTCGGGTGTGTATCTGGAACGCGGCAACTATATACCCGGAAGTGCTTTAACGTTCAGCGACTCGGAAGTTAACGGATCAAACTACAAAGGATCACACGCCGTTGCAATTATAGGATGGGGTGTAGCTAAAAATATTTTGTACGACAACAACAAACGTGGAGACGTTCCCTATTGGTACTGCAGAAACTCTTGGGGTTCGGGCTGGGGTGGAGACGACGGGTATTTTAAGATGGCAATGTATCCCTTCAACAAGGTTGCGCAATTTGGGAAAATTGTAGATATAGTCGATGGGCACGGACAGCGTCATCGGTGCGGTGGAATTGTTACATTCACTGTGTCGACTCCTCCGCAAAAAACGCGTTTCAAAAAACTCTCGCAAATCAATTACAAATTGTTAAACTCCGAAAACTACTATAAAAGAGAAGACTCGTACAAACCTTCCGTACAACCACCTGTTGTATCAAACAAAGGCAGCATTTTACCTCTGTCTAGCTACTTTTCTGACGAGTTTTGGTTCTACATATTCGTACCTTCACTGATTGTATTTTTACTTATTATGATCAACAAAATTCGAGCTCTTAATTAACATTTAAAGGCGTAAGCCTTTAAATATCCAATTTGCCGTTCAAACATTGGGAGCGGCTATTAAGCCAATGTGGAGATATAAATATTAAAAATCACTGATCTTTAATGATCTAAAAATCATTAAAGATCATTAAAAATTATTTAGATTTTAATCGAGCGCCTGCTATGATTGGTTCTTGTCCGATCTTTAAAAGTGTACCGTTGCTACTCACGCCAAACTTTGAATGCTCTCGTTTGGGCCTGTTGTCTGTGAATACGACGTCTTGATAAATGTTTGTGTTTTTCGCGATGTTGAACGCGGTATCAACTTGGTGGTTTGGCACATTTCGCGAGAGCTCCTGAAGACTGTGAATGTAGCGCTGTTGGCTAATTCTCTTTTGGTTAACGTGGTCTACATTCGACACGCGCAATTGCTCCTCTAACACCGGAATAACGCGTGTATCCGAGTCTTTTAATTTTTTAGCATTTGAATTTACCACAACTGTCTTTACATCTTTAACAAATAGTTCAATGTTTGTTGGTGGTGTTTGAGGAATTTCTTTTTTGAAGGATTTTTGAGCCTGTAAGCTGGTTTTTAGTGGATTTTTGTGTACTTGAAGGAGTTCAAATGTGTCGGGATCTATTTTTTTGGTTTGGTCGACTCTGCTGCGTTTGCTGGAAACGCTCACTTTGAGAGGATTTTTGTGCACCTCTCTGAAATATTCGACAACATCTGGTTCAATTCTTTTAGTTTGATCCACTCTACATCGTTTGCTCGTAATACTTGTACATGAGCGGGGCAATCTTGAGAGAGGCAACAAATCTTCTTGTCGTAAAATGGGAGGCCGGAATGCTCCTTCGTTCATAATTCTATAGGGTAACATTCCACCACCCCCAGTGGAAAATATACCACCAGACTCGCCACCACTTCCACCGCTAACACCCATCAATCCGCTCCCAGTATTACCGTGGTTCGAATATTGTACTGATACCATGGGGTTGTTGCCTCTCGCATAAACATTTATTGCTTCGTTGATGCGACTCCCGGAGTCATCATTCATGTCTAAAAGATCATTGTTTTCTCCCACCTTTGTAATTCTTCTTGTGTGAATGCCTGAAGGAGGATTTTTGACTATGTTGAAGTTGCCATTCCACAACTCCACGGACGGTAAGGTAACTTTGCCGTAACTTGTTAATCCAGAGTACGAAATCATTTATTAGTTCGCTTTTGCACCTTGGACATTCAATCCCGTCTCTTCATTTCTCTCGTCTCAATCGGGCGCTCAAGAGGTGGTGAAACCACCGAACTCAAGAGGTGGTGAAACCACCGAACTCAAGAGGTGGTGAAACCACCGAACTCAAGAGGTGGTGAAACCACCGAACTCAAGAGATGGTGAAACCACCGAACTCAAGAGATGGTGAAACCACCGAACTCGGGTGCAGTTGTGAGGCGTCTCGCTCAGATGGGCTACTAGTTGCCCGAAGAAAGACAACGAGCCGAATTAAGGCTTTAATGATCTAAATTTTTTAATGGTTTGTAACCATTAAAATTTCCGTTTTGTTATTAGTGTAATTATTAGTGTAATTATTAGTAAAACATACTCGTTGCCCGAAGAAAGACAACGAGCCGAATTAAAGCTTCAACGATCTAAATTTTCGTTTTGTTATTAGTAATTATTAGTAATTATTAGTAATTATTAGTATCAACTTTTTTGCATTTGTCACCAAAATTATACTAATTATTAGTAAAATTAGTATAATTATTAGTATAATTATTAGTGTAATTATTAGTATAATTATTAGTGTAATTATTAGTGTAATTATTAGTGTAATTATTAGTGTAATAATTTTACTAATAATTAGTAAAACATACTGGTTGCTGATTTATGAATCTTTTTAGATCTCCAGTTCGCAACAGCCATCCAAATAATAACAGCTATTAAAGCATATAAAAACCACATTTTATATTTATCAAACCAAGAAGTGACATCTGCAAACTCAAATGCTTCTCGTGTCAACGGATGATATCCCACCCCACCAGGATGAATTGCATTGGTGTATTGACCGTGGCGATGTGCTGATGCGCCCGACGAATATTCAACGACGTTCCCGTATTGATCTCTGTAATACATTTATTAACTGATAAATTAAAATTTGATCAATTACCCAAAAATCTTCAAACAGCCATGTCGAGTTTTAAAGTCGGATGGTGCACATAATTTACAATTTTAAAACTTGAACACCACTCATCCATCGACAGATTGCTCAGGTCGTTCAGACCAAATGTCCCGACGAATTCGACAGTCGGGAATTTATAGGGTTGTCTAGCCAATTGTGTCTGTAAGGCATCGACGTGGTTTGCGTATACATGGACATCACCAAACGTGTGCACAAACCGCCCTGGCTTTAGGTCGCACCACGATGCAATCAGATGAACAAGAAAGGCGTAGCTTGCTATGTTAAAAGGCACGCCGAGCCCCAAATCCGCGGATCTTTGGTAAAGCTGACAATCTAAAAGTTTTTGTCTAACAAAGAACTGAACAAAACAGTGGCACGGTGGTAATACCATTTCATTTAGTTGGGATACATTCCAACTTGACATGATCATTCGTCTATTTGATGGGTCTGTTTTAACTGTCTGGACCACTTCTCTCAACTGGTCACACCCTTTCCCCAAATAGTTTGTCTTGGAGTCGACATACTGGGCGCCCGCGTGACGCAATTGAAACCCATAGATGGGTCCCAGATCTCCCTCATCGCGGTCTAAAAATCCTCTACTGTTTAAAAAGTCTTTGGATCCATTTAGATCCCAAATTTTAACTCCATTGTCGTGTAAAATTTTAGAATCCGTCTGCCCTTTTAAAATCCAAAGCAATTCTTTGAGCACCACATTGCTTGGTACAAACTTTGTCGTCAACAAGGGCAGTGTGTTATCCGACAAGTCAAATACCAACCGTTCGCCAAACAATGCAAACGTACCTATTTTGGTGCGGTCGAGTCTATAATCGCCATGGTTAATACATTTGTTTACGAGGTCCAAGTAACACTGTTCTTCAATGTTTTTGGTCATGTTTATTATTAAATTAAACATCAAAATAAATGAGTAACATATTCGATTTGACGCTTTTACCTTCCGATCAACTAACTATTCTGAAATCTATGGACAAAACAACACAATTTGAAACCATAAAAAGATTTTTAGATATTTATAGACTTTCCGGAGCCAAAAAAGTAGAAAAATTTTTTTTTCTTCTATTGCTCAGCGATCTGGAAACAGACTTTTACTTGAAATTTGACATTTTCTGTTCGTTAAAAGATCATCTAACAATAAAAAATAAATTAAAAGTTTTTAGGGTTTTTGATACGTTAGTATTTTTGATTTTGCAAACGATGTTTATTGTGGAAGAGCATTGGTTGGTTTTTTTGCAGTTGGTCCAACATTTCGACTTGTGCGAGTTTAGTGACGTCGAAAAGCTGTTGAAGAATGTGATTATCTTGGGATTCAAGAAATTAAAAGACCCCTTCAAAAAAATATCCACCCTCATCAACACATTACAATCTTCATATCCCGACTCCTGGAAAAAGTCAGCGCTCGACCCACCAGAACGTAGTATAACACTATTGTGGTTATACGTTTATAATAACTATAAAAATGTTTTAACTGTTCAAAACAACCTTGTAATATTGCAAATTATTTTTGAAGGCGAAAATAAGTTTTTGGGTGATTTGTTGTTGATTGCGAAAGACGGTCGGTCGTTAAGTGTTCGGTTGGAGGCGTGCGACATTTTGTTTTTAAAAGGATCGTCCGCTGTTAAGGCACAAGCACAACACCTTATCGAAGCGCTAGTTCCACAAGACGCATACACCACCAACAAAGAAAATGCACATCTTTCTTCAATCGCAGCAAGTGTAAACAGAACTTTGGACCTTTTGTTGGAAAAGAATAGAGATAAAACACCCCCACAAAATTTGTACAACAGCTTGTTACAGAGATTTTCTCATCAAAAGTCGCTCAATGTAAAAAGGTCATTATACCGCATCTTCAATTATAACTTTTTAAGGTTCACAAACCATCACCTTACGTTAAAAGAGGTGATTGAGAACGTGTGTCTGTTTATAGACTCTTTTCCTCCCGAAACCCAACAGCAACTCTACACGCGGTTGGAACAGGAGCTCGAGGACATGTACAACACGTGCTCGCAAGGGTACTTGACGCGTCTGATCAACGTCTTCAGCGGGTTTGGTGTGGAAGATGTGGGGATCAGCATTGCGTTTGAGGACCAGATCTATGCCATCTTCTCGTTCAAGGTGAACGAGTGCATTGCAGCGGCTCCAACAGAGTTAAAGGACACTCTGTTGGAGGAATTGACAGTACCTACAAATGAGCCAGAGCGAAGAATGAATTTGACGAGATATTTAAGGCCTTATTTGTCTAAGATTTGGAATGAAATTTTTGATGAGTTTAGTGCTAATTTGACGACAACAGATTTGGATTTGTACTGTCGAAAAGTTTTATTGAAATACGAGGGAAATTTTTAATTTCAAAAATGTATATAATAAAGAGATGCCCCAACTTGTATTGTTAAAGTGTCAATCTTCTCGAGTGATTAAAAGCCCGAAAAGATCACCAAAACATAAGTCGCCTAGACGCAAGTCTGCGCGCAAGTCACCAGCTCGTAGATCGCCCAGACGCAGGTCTGTGCGCAAGTCACCAGCTCGTCGTCGATCACCAGCTCGTCGTCGATCACCAGCTCGTCGTCGATCACCAGCTCGTCGTCGATCACCAGCTCGTCGTCGATCACCAGCCATGAGTCGCGATTTAATCGATTTGATGAGTTAAAAAGTCACACACGATTAAGTCGTCACGGTTTAATGGTTTTAAATCATTAAATTTCGCAAGACCAAATTATCTGGACAACGAGCCTAACACTTTTCGCTCCTTGACACACGTAGTGGACTCGTCGACTTTTTCTCGTTCATCAAAGGGTACAATTTGGCCTTTGATTTGGATTAATGATCATTTTAATGATTTTTATCATTAAAAAAATTAACGAGTACTACGAATTATTGTACTACGAATTCTACGAATTATTGTACTACGAATTCTACGAATTATTGTACTACGAATTCTACGAATTATTGTACTACGAATTCT